CATGGACTGTTATGTACCCTGCATGATTTCATGATGTGATACACGAAATAGTGAATCTTTAAATTGGGCAATTTTCTTTGAATTTGTGTCCTTCAAATACCCTGACTTTGAAGTAGTGCTAATCTCCCAGCTCAAAAGATAATCTTTGCTTCTAAGACACTTACAACCTTTTTTTTTCACAATTGTCAGTAGAAACAAATAGCCACAAAGGATCTTTGAGGAAATTTTGCTTTATTAATACAGAAAAAAACTTGCAGCGTCATTATTACTTTTGTCTGCTTAATGTAGGATATGACCTTGCAAACGCGTATTTAAGAGCTTTCAAAGAAAAATGTTTGGTAGTTCAACTTTTATAAAATTCAGTTTGCAGCCTAGACCTTATTGGAAAATGTTTATTAAAAATGCATATGCTTTTGCTATGGGGCCCAGGGACTTACTTAGGAGGACAGTCTGCAATATCATGTTCCTTAGGTATGCTGCTTGTAAATTATTTCCTGTCTACAGTAGACAGTGGTGTATTTTGTTTTTGTGCTGCCATAGGCAACACAAAAATAGTCCCCCCCCCCCAAAATAAAAAAGAGAGGAGTGAGTGAGTTATCTTCCAGCACACACCTTCACAGCTCTCCGGAATGACACCCACGGGTCACCCCCAGGACCATGATCAGGAAAGCCCGGTGTCTTCCTTGTGCGCTGATCTCTGCCAATGATCCAGGAATGAGAGTTGGACACCCTCCAGCAGCCTGCAGCCTCTTGCAGATCCCATGAATGGCTCCTCTGTGGTGAAGTCTCTCCGGAGAGGACTCATTCCCTCTACACCATCCTGCTGTGCCTGTGCCTCACCCGCTCCCCATCCTCAGTCACCAGCTGCCACGCGTGTCACTTCTGCGGGGCCAGTGCAAGGATTTTTGTCTACACAGGCGAAGGTTCATTTTGCCGCCCCCCCAACTTCATTCCTCTCGCCACTCACTCCCCTCCACCACTGTCTACAGCCACGCTTGTAACTCCTTCACGTTCCACATGTCATGTGATGGGGCACAGCGTGAAGCATGTCACACAGTATTGACAATTGAGCTGCGCTTAACTACTACTAAGCAGCAGTGTGTAATGAGGTGGTGAGGTTATGCATCCCAAACTTTCCCTCACCATCTACGAGCAGCTGGCAGGTGCGGCAGACTAAAACTTCCATGCATCCGGTAGGAGAGAGAGAGAGCGCAGTGTTAGGGAATGGAACGGAAGAATTTAAAAAATACAAATCTCCAACAAATGGCTGAGGAATCGGATTTTACCGCAATCCTCCCCATACCCTAAGATGGTAGCCTAAGCAGCCTTTTGCTGGCACACACCCTGGATAGTCTCCATCACAATATACAAACCCCAGTGGATACCCTTCATCCCAATATACATACCCTATAGTTTATCCCACCTACCCCATAGGAATCCACCCTATACATACTATATACCCCAGTGCATGCCCTTCTGATCACCCCCACCAACCTGATTGCAACTCCCCCCTACATACTACCAACCTGATCGTTCCTCCCCACATACTGCCAACCTGATCATACCGCCCACATATCACCAACTTGATCGCACCCCCCCCCACATACCACCAACCTGATCACACCCCCCCCATATACCGCCACGCAGATCGCAGCCCCCAACATACCGCCAACCTGATCGTACCCCCCCACATAATGCCAACCTGATCGCACCCCCGCACATAAAGCCAACCTGATCACACACCCCCTCCCACATACCAGCAACCTGACCACACTCCCCCCTCTGATCACACCCACAGATCCCTCCATTCTGATCACACCTTGGGTTTACCAATCTCCCCAGATCTCACCAGTCCTGCAGCTCCTCTAGCTGGTATCAGTGTTGAACATCCTGAGCCAGGATGAGTAGTCGCGTATCGGGAGAAGATCTCTACCAGGACCACAGGTAGTAGCGGCACCTTGCAGCAAAGAGTGAGGAGCCTCCTCCACCCCACATGTCCAGGTGCATGCTGCCATCCCTGAGCTTGCCAGACAGTGAGACCTGTCCCCTCCCTGCATGCACCAGGGATCCACCCACCACTCTATCCTCCTCTGCATCTTCAGATCCATTCTGACAGCAGGGTTAGCTCACCACCCCGCTGAGTCTCAGTGAGCTCTCCTGTTCTCCCAGAAGCTTAAATGGAAGTTGTAGCTTGCCTGCTGGGGGGACAAGTATTTTAAAAATCCAAATCCCTAGCAAGTGGCTGGGACTCCAGATTTTACCGACGCCCTAAGGCAGCTGCTTAGGCCCTCCCTTCAGTCAGTGCCACCCCCCTGAAAAATGCCACCCAAGGCAAATGCTTTGGTTGCTTCACGGTAAATATGCCCCTGAAAGTAGATTTCTGTGACCTTTGGCTGATATTAGAATGCAAATTTTGGTATCTATCTAGTATTTCAGCTTCCTAATACAAAATGAAAAAATTTAAACACCCCAAACATGCAGCTTAACATCATCAAACTGAAACTATAGCTAATGGAAGCTCTGAAACACTTAGAGCTGCGTCAAGAGCAGGGCAGACTGACCATTTGGAAACTCGGGCACCGCCCGAGGGCCCGGGGTCAGTAGGGGGCCCCATGAAATGCCCCTGGTACCTTTTTCATAGGCTTTTTTGAGTTTGGGCAAGGACACAGGGGCCCCATGATCCCCTATTGCCCGGGAGCCCCATGACTTGTCAGTCCACCCCTGGTCAAGAGGTGTTTGGCTTATGCCCATGGCATCATTTTGTGAAGCCTCTAAGATTTTTCAAAATTCATTTACAGGTGCTTTTGATCTGCAATTTCCCTACTTCTGACCTACACTTGACCTACTTCAAGCAGGTTTTGCATTTCTGTGGATTTTATGTCATTTGAAGTGAACAGAAGTCCATCACCACAGGCCCAAAGCCCCAGTTCACAATGATGCGGCTTTGAAATCATGCTACTCCAGCGAGTTTTCAAAGCCGCATATCAGTGCAATATGCACTGGCGATTTCATTGTGCATAACAAAAGTCTATGCAAGTTGCAATGAAATCGGAAAAAAGTAGTGCAGGAACTTTTTTCAGAATCGCTGCATCATGAATCGTGGCAATATGAGCAATTCCATTGCCGACAATGGGGTGCGACTTGTCATGCAATTTGGATCTCAACTTGAGTTATTGAGATCTATTAGAAATATATTTTTAACATAAAGAAATTGGAGCGCATAAAATGTACTCTCCGTCATTCAGTAATTTCAGAAGCTATTTTCAATTTTCAACCACACACTATAACCTGTAGTGCAGCAACAGAGTAATACTATTTAAAGTGATAAAGTGCCACCATCACCATCCTGTGCTGTGCAAAGATTACCAGAGAGTCAGGCCTCAAATTGCCAGAGGGAGGTCAATATTCGCTCTTGTATGGTACAATCACCATACTAAGATATTTTAGATATCCCAACAAATTCTCTAAAGATGCTGTTGCACAGAGGATAATAATAAATGCATTCCGAAAAGGATAAAAAAAAAATCTTCAATGGTATAGATCAGGGGTATTGAATTAAAATGAAAGGAGGTCCAGTCACTAACATTTTCTTCTGGCCGAGGTCCGAATAGGGTGTGCTCATCAGTGTGCCCCTTACATCAAATAACCTGCAATTCCGTTATGTTAATATCTGAAGGACTTTATATATCAGTCTTTCTGCTAGCTGTTTTCACTTTTGTATTAGTTTAGGGTTATAATAGCGTCAGCTTTGTGGGTGCTATTTGTTTTATTATATTACTAAGAACAGATAGGTAAACGCCCAAAATGGAGCCTAAAGCTCAACTTGCTAGGTGGAAAAATCTCTATTTTTATTTTTTTTTTGTCTTCACCATAAAAAAGAAAACATTTACAAAACTACTATGCAATGGAGTTGACTTACTAAAGCAAACAGTGCATTTTCTCTAGATCTAAGGGGAACATGCAAGGAAAATAAAAAAAACTGCATTTTTGTTTGCACATGATTGGATGAAAGAAATCAGCTTTCCTTCATTACAGAGCTTTCCCTTGGATCTTGTGCAACTGCATTTGCAGTGTATAGACTTTTTGTCTTTAGTAAATCAACCCCACTATCTTAAAAAAAGAATACAAATGTGTAAAGGATTCCTTCATTTTGGTGATATGGGGCTTGTGAAACAACAAAAGAAGTAATACAAGTTTTATAAAAATAAGAGATATTTCTATTATTAACAGAGACCTGGCAACCTTACCTGGCATCAAGACAGCATGATTATTTAGTCACACTACATAAAGATGCTATGCACTCTCATGCCCTGCTCTGATGTGCTAAAATACTTCTCACTAAATTACGCTTTTTATTGTTACAGTATTTTTAAACCACTAGCCTACAGGGCACTTATACCCCCTTCCTGCCCAGGCCAATTTCCAGCTTTCAGCGCTGTCACATTTTGAATGACAATTGCGCGGTCATGCAACATTGTACCCATATGAAATTTTTATTATTTTTTTGAGACAGATAGAGCTTTCTTTTGGTGGTATTTAATCACCTCTGGGATTTTTATTTTTTCTTAAACAAACCAAAAACCACTGAACATTTTGAAAAAAAAAATGTTTTTTCTTAGTTTTTGTTATACAATTTTGTAAATAAGTGATTTTTCTCCTTCACTGATGTGTGCTAATGAGGCTGCAGTGATGGGCACTGATAGGCTGCACTGATGGACACTGAACGGTGGCACTGATGGGCACTGATGAGGAGGCACTGGTAGGTTGCACTGATGAGCATTGACAGGCATCACTGATGGGCACTGAAAGGCAGCACTGATACATGACACTGATATATGGCACTGATAGGCGGCACTGATAGGCAGCACAGACTGGCACTGATAGGTGGCTCTGACTGGCACTGTTAGGCAGCACTGACTGGCACTGATAGGTGACACTGACTGGCACTGATAGGTGGCACTGATTGGCAGCACTGATAGGTGGCACTGATTGGCATTGATAGGTAACACTGACTGGCACCAATGGGTGACATTGAAAGGCAGCTCAGATGGGCACTGATATGTGGCATTGATGTGCACTGGTATGTGGCACTGATGTGGCACTGATGGGCACTGGCACATGGCACTGATTGGCACTGATGAGCACTGACAGGTGGCACTTCTGGGGCCACACTGATCATCAGGGCACACTGATCATCAGTGCCCTGATGATCAGTGTACATGTCCCCTCCGCGGAAAGACGATTACCGGCTCTCCTCTCGAGCTGTCAGCGTGACAGCTCGAGAGGAGAGAAATGCCGATAACCGGCATTTCCCTGTTTACATGTGATCAGCTGTGATTGAACACAGCTGATCACATGACCGAGCCGACATCTTCGGCTCTTTCCGTGATCCGCTGTGTCTGAGGGACACAGCAGACCGTCGATTGCCGCGCTGCGCGCTCCCTGAGCCGCGCATGCACGGTGAGAATGGTAGGATGTCATGTGACATCCTATCAGAACGAGAGAACCTAGTGTGCGTGCTAGTCTCATATTGAAAATGAAGAGGTTACTATAGTTACAAAAATTCTCATAGGACAGAATACAAATTTGGATGTGATGTATTGTATTGTATTGAATTATAAATTATTCTTTCGTTTCCAAGCAAGTTCAGTTTTGGTCACTGGATGTTTTTCGGACAAATACAGTAATTTATTACTGATACTTATATAGCGCTGTCAATTTTACATATATATTGTACATTCACATCAGTCCCTAACCCTCAAGGGGTGTACAATCTAAAATCCCTAACTTACATTCATACATACACATACTAGGGCTAATTTAGACAGGATCTAATTAACCTACTGGCAAGTCTTTGGAGTGTGGGAGGAAACCCACGCAGGCACAGGGAGAACATGCAAACTCCAGGCAGGTGGTGCCGTGGTTGGGATTTGAACCAACGACCCTAGTACTGCCAGGCGGAAGTGCTAACCACTTAGCCACTGTGTAATGATCATTTGTTCTTGTGTAGAACAAGAAAAATAGTCATGCTTGTCCCTTTGGATATTGTTGCATGAACTGCTACAATCAGCTCTCAAAATCTGTGTACTATAGATCAGATTATAGTACGATCCCTCCAAAAGCGATTTTTTTTTTTGTCCGATTTTCTCATCATATGTACTAGTCATTAATCATAACACTTTAAAAGCTCAGCAGGAAATAAAATAACTATTTTCCCATAGAACACTAGTAAGTCCAATTTCTAAGCAGTGTATATCTTTTCCTTAATTCGTCTTCTTAGCCTGTTAATAGGAGTTAAGACATAAATAATACCAACAAACCAACTTAGACATCTAGTAATAGATTGAATTTTTGTGCTGTCTTTGCAGTGGAGCTAAAGGTTAGAGCCCCCTCCACATTTGCTTTAGTCTCATTGACTAACAAGTTCTCCTATGTCAGGTTTTATTAGGGTCTCGGAGATCAAAATGTCCTGAGAGATCTAAGCAAATGAATATGTCTGTACCGAAAACTGAAGTAAGAGAGACAATTTAACCTGAAATAGCAGAGAGGGATAATATTGTTAACAAGGAGAGAAGATTCACAATGCATACATGATGCAAAAACAATAAGTAGGGAGGTGGAAATCAATGCACAAGTGGAACTATAAGCTGGGTGAAGCTTCGAATCTATACCAAATGGGAGCACAAGTAGTGTCACCCTCTGACCTATGAAAGGAAATGAAAAGACAGCAGCCCGGAGCTCTTTCCTCATCTGCAGTCATTCTGCAGCATCTCCATCTCTATAATCTTATCTTTGCTCTGGCTTCAATCCAAGAATAGTGGCAAACAACAGACAGGACTGATGGTTAGCACACTGTTTTCTTGCTAACACATGTTATTTTCTACGCCTGCATATGGCACAGAGTAATCATAATGTTCAAAGAAATTGATGTTTTCTCCTGTTTTATTTTTAGATGTTTACAGTCAGTTAAAGTTTTTGTTTTTATGCTGGAGGATGAATAGGTGAAAATGAGCCTGCATTACGAGCATTACATAAAGACCGATTCCAGATCTTTTTTTGTTTACATGTAACCCCTCAGTATTTTAATGAATTATACACTCTCCAGCCACTATATTAGGTACACCTTGCTAGTGCCAATAAAAATATCCCCCACACCATTACACCACCACCAGCCTGAACCATTGATACAAGGCAGGATGGATCCATGCTTTCATGTTGTTTATACCAAATTCTGACCCTACCAGGGGTGGACTGACCATTTGGAAACTCGGGCACTGCCCAAGGGCCCGGGGTCAGTAGGGGGCCCCACGAGATGCCCCTGGTACCTTTTTCATAGCCTTTTTTCAGTTGGGGCAAGGACACAGGGGCCCTATGATCCCCTATTGCCCGGGGGCCCCATGAGTTGTCAGTCCGCCCCTGGACCCTACCATCTGAATGTCGCAGCAACCAGTCTGCCCATTCTCCTCTGACCTCTTACATTAACAAGGTATTTAAGTCCACACAACTGTCGCTCACTAGATATTTTCTCTTTCTCGGAACATTCTCTGTAAACCATAAAGATGGTTGTATATGAAATTCCCTGTAGATCAGCAGTATTTTAAATACTCAGACCAGAGCATCTGGCACCAACAACCATGTCACATTCAAAGTCACTTCAGTCTCCTTTCTTACCCATTCTCATGCTCGGTTTGAACTTCAGGAAGTCGTCTTTACCACGTGTATATGCATAAATGCATTGAGTTGCTGCCATGTGATTGGCTGATTAGCAATTTGTGTTAACAAGCAATTGAACAGGTGTACTTAATAAAGTGGATGAATGTATGTTATACAGGGGCGTCATATGACTGACAACTCATGGGGCCCCCGAGCAATAGGGGATCATGGGGCCCCCAAGTCCTTGCCGAAACTCACAAAAGCCTATGAAAAAGGTACCAGGGGCATCTCGTGGGGCCCCCTACTGACCTCGGGCCCTCAGGCAGTGCCCGAGTTTCCAAATGGTCAGTCCGCCCCTGATGTTATACATAGTATATTCAGTCCCAAGATCCATGAGTGCCATAAAGATCCACTACACCCTGAGGCTCCTTTTCATTGCAGTGTTGCATGCATATTAATATAAGGCATTTCAATGGAGTCTGGGGTTTCATGCCAAAATAATTCAACAAAACGAGTCGACAAATCCAAAGTGTTTAAAACAAAAGAAGAGTAACCACTTTACACTTGAAAGTCACTTATCTATAAAGTCACAAATGCTGGGGTCATCCCAAGCCCAAGTGAGGCAGTGCCATATTCCCTGTACTGTATATACCTCTGCCAAACAAAGATAATTGTGCTTCTTTCTTCCCTACAAGTCACCAAGCATTAAAGCTGAATGCCAAGGTGAACTCCAGTAGCAGACACTAGCTTGCAGCTGGACTCCTGTAATCCTTTCTACAGTAGAATAAAGATTGGGACTCTGAGCCATCAGAGTTTCTTTGTTTGTATATATATACAATGAATATACTTATTAATATGATGAAGAGGATGATTAAGGAGATTACAGATCTAGCTTTGCTTTCTGGCAGGTGTGCCATGATTACAACACTGGCTAAAGGGAATTAAAACTCTTTTGCTGGTTAAAACTATTAACATACTGTATATATCATTGCATGGTGTATTCACTTTTTTGCCTCTGTTTTAGGGTGTCAGTACTCTGAATATACCTGGGTGGTGTTGGATCAGGTCAGCTGTGTGTTCCAGAACCTCATAAAATTCCTCCATGCGGAGTAGGCACTGACAATAGTTCAGAATCAAAGTGTTAATCATCTTTTCCAGTTTCATCCAAGGCACCTCCCATGGCTTTTCCTGGAAGCAAAAATTAGTATATCAAAGATTCTATCAGACTGAATAAAACCCTGGGCCTTCCAGAGTTTTGTTTATTCAAGAATGTTGATCTTTGTGGCATCTAGTGAAAACTTGTGTGGCTTTTCTATGATGGCTATTAAGATTGTTGGTGCTAAATATGGATGAGTTTAAGATTTTGGTTGAATATAAGACCAACCAGAAACCAGCCTGTTCTCATTTTGTCTAACAGGTGATGAAAATGGTCATATTTGGCCAGTTCTCCCACAGGAACCCCTGGCTGTAAGTCAGACTACCACCACTACCACTAAATAGCAGTAAAGAAATGGCAAACCTAAATACTCCTGCGCTTAGGGATGGACTCTGTATAGACAGGATCACATCACAAATTCCTGGGATATGCCTGTCTTGCTGCCCTCAAATGACCAGGAAGTCCAAGTATACTGAGTGGAGAAACACAAAAAGAGGGCGCACCGGCCTAGTGCATTACCTTAAAAATGTGTTTATTAAATGATAAAAGTAGGTATTGTACTCACAGAATGACAAAACAGTCAAAGGCGCATTGTGAAAAAACAGCTCTGTCCAATCCACACTACATGTTCGTCTGTAATGGGAACTCTGGACCTCCAACAAGCTGACGCATTTCAAGGACTTGCCTCTTCCTCAGAGCCAACTGCAGGTGCACCCTCTGTTTGTTTTTCTCCACTCAGTACCACTACTAAATGACAGATCCCCACCAACTTCTGTTTGTAAACAAACAGGTCAAGGATGCTGAACGACGTCACCAACCAAATATAGTGATGACCATATTTGGTCAATGACACCACCCAAGATCCTTGGACTGTTTGTTTTACAAATAGAAGCTGGGGGAGATCTGTAAATATGTGACGGTAGTGCTACCACCACAAAATATCAGATTCCCTTTTTTTTTTCTAATAAAAGACTTTTTGTGATGGGAGTCACTTTGGGTGGGGGGCCCTTGGAACAAAGCTCACTTTGAAGAGGTGGGGAGACCCCTGCCTTAGCTCCCCATATCCCTATTATGTGTAAGTCACCCTGTGCCTGTTAGGGGTACAGGGTGATCTGTACAAATATTGGGGTGGAGGGTTGTTGTTTAATGCCACATGGTTGCATCCCATTGTTCTATTGTGTGTCTTGCTTGGGAGAAAACTATTATGGGATGTATGTGTTTGTGTATTGGCTTGGTGGGGGGTGTTTCCACCAGCCCTCCCTCCTGATGGGATTGTCTGTTGGTGTGTCTCTTGTTACTAAAGGTAGATTGCCCTGCCCTGTGTCACTATGCAGGGAGGGGGGATTGTTCCCTTGAATGTATATATCTTGTATCTGTGTTAAAATAAAGTAGTCTATTTCCTGGTTGACTTCAAGACTGGTGTCCTCTAGTATTGTATGGTCTGCAGTGGTGTCTGTGGTCGGTGTTCGGACATGGAAGCGGTATCTTAATGGAAGTACCCAAGCGTAGATGGGGTTGATTCCGTTACATTGGTGGCAAGCGGTGGGATTGTGCTTCCTGGCTGTGAACACGTCCAAACCACCACCGGGATTCAAGATCAGGAAAGTAGATGTCGGTCACCCCAGTGGAGATATGGACCTGGCATCAGAGTTCCCGGGGCTGCTGCAGATCGTTCCTGCAACTTACCCCAGGACTGTGTCTGTGGATGAGTATATGGAGCTCAGGCAGTGGATTTGAGTGGTGCTTTAGAGTGGAGCCCTCCAGGTTGCTGGTATGTACAAGGGCAAGTGCTATCCAACCCCAGGGGAACGGGCCAGGAACCATTGGAAGTTACGGATGCCATTCCTGGGAGAGCGACCCCAGGAGCAATGGGTGACTGAGTTGGACAGGCAGGTCCAGCAGGAGATAGAGCTGGACAACCAATATTGGGCTCTGCAATGGTACGCAGAGCAGAAATATTTAGGGGTGACAACAGAATGCTCTCTGGAGGGATATGACTTTGGTGGCCCTGGATTTCTGTAGGAGAGCCTTAGAGATCATTTTGTGTTTGGCGATGAAGAACCTACCCTTGAGGACCTGCGAGAAGACAGAGAGACTATGTTTGGTCTCGCAGAGGTCTCAGAGCTTGAACCAGATCTGGAATACCTGCTGATGAAAGAACAGCATCTGGAAAGGGTATACAGGCAACTGCTAAAACATGTTCAGCAGCATGCCCAAGAATTGGTAGTGGAAATTCCAGAGACTAGGGATTTGATAGACTTCTCTGCTGAGGAAAAACAACCTGTTGAGCCTCCAGCAGAAGAGCTGGCAACAGGGCCAAACATTACTGAACTCTGCCCAGCATTGGTAACATTTTCTGGGTTCCATGCACAGGACATGGTGAACCCCTATCCCCAGACACCAGTTCCAGAGACTGGGGATTTGATTGACGTTTCTGCTGAGGAGAAATCAGCCGATGCTCCTCCACCAGAAGAGCTGGAATCAGGGCATGGTGTTGTTGACCTCTGCCCACAACAATCAGCACCGCAGGAGCTATAGGAAGAGGATGCAATCGGCACCTCACAACTGGAGCTGATGTCCGTGGATGGGACTTCGGTTTCCACTGACACAACCGCAGAAAAGGGTCTGGCATTGGGACAGGAGGATGTCAGCCTTACTTAGCGAACACTAGGGGATGTCCATCAAGTCAAAGTGGATGAGACTACAGTCACCACTTGGATACCCCAAGGATGCGGGGCAGTCGGCCCAGATCCCCAACAGCATGATGGAGTCAGCCCAGCCACCCTGTCTTCTCTCCAGCGGCTGAGAGGACTTCAGGGAGAAGTACCAGTCCGTACTTCTCCCCAGTGGCAGGTATGTTCCACGAGAGAGGTAGAGGCTGGCTGGGTGAGTAATGCTTTGTGTGGGACAATTTTTTTGGGGAACTGTGTGGGTGCTGGCATTGGGGGACTGGAAGTATAGACTAACTTCAGAGTCCACCCTTCTGGGGTTTCCTCCTGCGTTAGTCTCGTGCTGAAAGGGGAGATATGTGACAGGACTTTGGGTGGTGGGTCCATGGAACACAGCTCACTTTGGAGAGGTGGGGAGACCCCTGTCTCAGCTCCCCATATCCCTATTATGTGTAAGTCACCCTGTGCCAGTTAGTGGTACAGGGTGATCTGTACTAATATTGGGGGGGGGGGTTGTTGATTGTTTAATGCCACGTGGTTGCATCCCATTGTTCTATTGTGTTTCTTTCTTGGGAGAAAACTATTATGGGATGTATGTGTTTGTGTACTGGCTTGGTGGGGGGTGTTTCCACCAGCCCTCCCTCCTGATGGGACTGTCTGTTGGTGTGTCTCTTGTTACTAATGGTAGATTGCCCTGCCCTGTGTCATTATGCAGGGAGGGGGTATTGTTCCCTTGAATCTTGTATCTTGTATCTGTGTTAAAATAAAGTAGTCTATTTCCTGGTTGACTTCAAGACTGGTGTCCTCTAGTCTTGTATGTTCTGCTGTAGTGTCTGTGGTCAGTTTTCGGACAGGGAAGCGGTATCCTAACGGAAGTACCCAAGTGCAGACGGGGTTCTGTTCTGTTACACTTATTATTTGCTCTTTTATTTTTTGGGGGGAATGAGTAACAAGGTGTACTAATGTACCTCATACTTATTCACCTGGGGGGGGGGTGTATATCCATTTTCTTGTATATTCTGTGTATTTAGTTGTGTTTTCTGTTTTAACTTTAAATTTATACACATAAGGTTCTATTTATAAAACATTCCTTGAATGTTTGTCCAGATTGGTCCTGATTCTGTTCTACTGGGGTCTCCCGTTAGTGCTTTACACTCCTCCTCTTCTTATGCTCTATCATGGAAAGCCTCTTCCTATGGGAGTGGCACTGTACGTATGATAACACACATAAAAACTCAGGGCAGGAAGAATGCTGAGAGAGGTTGGGGAGGGGACAACCTAGAATTTTAGGTTACATTCACACAGTTGTAAAACTTTTACTCATCATATAGGCAAGTTTTCCGTGTAACAATTTTTTCCTGCTTAAATGATCAGTAAAAGACTTGCTTTTAGATCTGTTTTTAAATGTGAAAACATTGTAGTTCAAAATCCTCCTTTTTTGCATTTTTTGCATCTAGTACATGTATACATGAGTTTACACCCATATTTTTTGGAGTTTGTGTAACAGATCTGAACGCAGCATATGTTTACGCATCTGTCTGTATGTCTCTTCTGAAAACTATGCAGCTGCATTCAGATCTGTAAACAAAACATTTTTGAATGCATTTTTTACTGCCCTGTGAAGGTAGCCTTAAGCAGTTTGTGAACACAGTGATCAGAAAAATTCCACAGTCAAAGTGACTACATATTAAAATGAAATACCTTAGTTTGTATATTTTTTAGACAAATAACAGCTTCTCTGTATTTATTGGTTGCATCTTCATAGCGTCCAAGTTTAAATAGTCTGTTTCCTTCCCCATGCAAGACTGGGACGACTTTCAGCTTTTCATCGTTGCTCAGGGCCCAGGTCTCTCTTTTATACATGCTGGGGGATTCGACCTACCACACAAAATGAGGCTTTCACAAATGAAGGACTTGTTGCAGGAGAGATAGACGGATAGATAGATAGACAGACAGAGAGAGAGAGAGGAGATAGAGAGAGAGAGATAAAAATAGATTAAATCACAGACAGATTGATGTAAAATTTCTTTCCTAGAGCTGTACCATCCATTACTCCCTCATATACAAATTCCCCAAAATGTTAATGCAGCTCGGTGTTTTATCTTTCATATCAAAATATTGCATTAATATATTTTCTGTTCATTTTATATACATTTATAATATTTTGAATACATTTATAATATTTACATGGGCTATTGCTTACATTTCATAGATACATAAGGTACAGTATACAGCATATGCATTATGTTGGTATGTATGTGTGACTTTGGGGTACAGCACAGCCAGGAGGGTGATATCAAATAGCCTGCTGTTTGGACAATGGAGGAACCAGCACACACTGTCACAGTGAACTCTCCTCCTATCAGCATGTACCCTGTAACTTACTGTACTGAGAAAATATGGCTCATATATAAAGTATAAAAACATTTTTTATTTCTATGTCCTCCCCCTTCCCTGTGTGAAGGGGAAAAGAGGGGAAATATATTATCCAGTGCTGTGCATGGCTGCATCTCTCCTCCCCTCTCTTCCTCTTCAACCAGGGACCCAAACAGCAGCAGAGCTATTGGCTCTGGCTGCTGTCAATCAAATTTAGTGAGGAGGAAGTGGGGACAGGGCTAAGTCCCCCTGTGTATGTCTATGGAGCGCGACTCCACAGACACACAGCTTGGGAGTGAACAGACACTGTGTGCCCCAATAGCAGCTGTTTGCTATGGGGACACACAAAGAACAGGAGGAGCCAAGATCTCCGGTGGAGGGCTTAAAAAGAGGAGGATAAGGGCCACTCTGTGCAAAACAACTGCGTAGAGCAGGCTAGTATAACATGTTTGTTATTTTAATTTAAAAAATAAATTGACTTTAGTAATACTTTAACAGATCAGTGTTATTGTTAGTTACTGTATAAGTACAAGTTTTATTTTTAAGTTTTAATCTGTGCTCCAATTTGGGATTTTTTTTTATGGGAAATCTCTCTGGTGGCACAATGATGTAAGAAAATATTTAGTTAGTAAAAACGAGGAAAGGTTACAACTTCTGTCTGTCATTGTATTGCTGCCTGCAGTGACAGCTCCCGTCATTTCTTGTCCTGCTTCTACAGGGACAGGAAGTATATTGACATCTCCCAAATGGGGTCATGTAAAGCAATAAAACTTGACAGACAGGTCTATCTAGCTAAACTGAGCTTTATTTAAAAATGTGAAAAAATAAAATAACAGCGCAAAACATAGACCTCTACATAAAAAATCAAAAAAGTGCAAAAAAAAAAAAAAAAAAAAAATTTTTTGTAAAACAAAATACAATTTAAATGGTGCAGTCCATCAAATTCTTATATAAATAGTGAAATCCATCAAAATGAAACAAAAGTTCAAAAATATTCAAAAATATATGTGCAAAAAAAGAAAAAAAGAGAAAGAAATCTTTTCACATTCTTCTTGTAAAGAAACTTCCACCTTCCACCCGTGAAAACCAATATCAAATGCACTCACCAGATATAGGTGAATAAAACGCCTTTTAGGAATTTTATGGGATCCTACACCCTCTTTCGTATCCACTCTATAGGAATCTTCTCCTCCAACATGGGCTCCACCATCCGACCAGGGAGAAAAAAATCTCAAATAGTGTGATATTGTAAGACACCATTTCATATGTGAAATCAAGGATTAAGGCCACTCACATTAATTTACTTTAAAAAGGCATATTTATTAAGGCAAGCTTCTCTCCAGATGAACAGTAGATGCAAGGTAACCTCTCACAGAATCTCACATCACAGTCCCAGGTTCCCTGGGAACCTGGGACTGTGATGTGAGATTCTGTGAGAGGTTACCTTGCATCTACTGTTCATCTGGAGAGAAGCTTGCCTTAATAAATATGCCTTTTTAAAGTGAAATTAATGTGAGTGGCCTTAATCCTTGATTTCACATATGAAATGGTGTCTTACAATATCACACTATTTGAGATTTTTTTCTCCCTGGTCGGATGGTGGAGCCCATGTTGGAGGAGAAGATTCCTATAGAGTGGATACGAAAGAGGGTGTAGGATCCCATAAAATTCCTAAAAGGCGTTTTATTCACCTATATCTGGTGAGTGCATTTGATATTGGTTTTCACGGGTGGAAGGTGGAAGTTTCTTTACAAGAAGAATGTGAAAAGATTTCTTTCTTTTTTTTTCTTTTTTTGCACATATATTTTTGAATATTTTTGAACTTTTGTTTCATTTTGATGGATTTCACTATTTATATAAGAATTTGATGGACTGCACCATTTAAATTGTATTTTGTTTTACAAAAAATTTTTTTTTTTTTTTTTTTTTTTTGCACTTTTTTTGATTTTATGTAGAGGTCTATGTTTTGCGCTGTTATTTTATTTTTTCATATATTTGTGTTGTTCACATTGCACAGCAGCAGGATAGTACCTGTAGTAAGTGTCTCACTAGGCGCAGGAAGATATCTTATAATTTATTTAAAAATGTACTGCCATTCCAACCTACAATAAGCAACATTGCTATGAAAATGGAAAATAATTGTTTTCATACTAGAGCCGTTTACTGTAACCCCATCTACTCTGATATGGTCAGGGGCAATATTTTATCAATGGCTGTCAACATTTGCAAAGGTAGCAATTGTCAATTAAGTGTCCATTTGGAACATCTTGATAAAAACATTTTTTTCACTAAAATGAAACATATATATTAATGTTCAAAAAAATGAGTTCAATAAGTAAAGATCTATAGTCACAGCACACACTTTCACTTTATAACATCAGCATGTAATAACAATACAAAGGTATTTTTGACAATCTAATATAAGACTTGCTTGAAAATGTTCCTTTTATGTTGTGAGTCCTGCCTGTCTGCTGGCTATCTCTTTCCACAACTTCATAGATTCCCTGCATGCTTTGCAGCTTCTCTTCTGCTGTTTACTGGGAGTTTCTAAGGACTACATATCCCATGGTACCTTGCTACCTGAAATCAGTGATTCCTGTACTGACTCCGACTCCCGAAACTCCTTCTCTCAGCACCTCTATAGTTCAGAAGGCAGGCTCTGTGAAATGTGTGACAAAGCAATGTCTACTCACAGGGCATAGTGAATGTGTGTCATGGAAGAAAGTAAATGTGTGTGGGTCTTAACAATGTAAGTTAAAGATCAATCAGAACAATGAGAGTAGGCTAGAAATTATTGAAATACAATCTGGAAATTAATATATGATAATAAAGTTTGACAATAGATACACTTTAAAGAGTATGCAAACCCAATATTACATATTCCTGATATGTGCCTGCTGTACCATGTACTTGATGGTATGAATAATGTATCCTGTTCTCTTAGTATTGCTTCCCTTGTGTGAAATCCCCGGTGTTCCAGTAAATCCCTCTGCTTTCCTATTAAAAACTGACCACACTAGGCATGAGTACCACATGGTCAGTTTTCTAGCTGTGCAGGAAACTCAGACTGCTTTCCTCCAATGACCAGGCTTGTGCTGACACGCCCCATCCCCCCACCCTTCTGCGCAGCCATTCACTGGGAAGACTAATATGCTGCTGTTTCTCCTTCCCTAACTCTGTGAGCTCCTTATGCAGCTATGAACAGAGGGAATGTGATCACTTATAAAAATGGAAAAAGGTATTTATAATGTTTTTTTATATCTATACAAAATGTTTTGTGTTTCATTTCTAGAATGGTTTGTTTTACAAGGTGAAGGTTCAAATATACTTTGAATACAAATAGATAATTGCACATGATGCTGTCCTAATGTAGAAATTTAGGGAGCCAATCCTTTATACCAAAGTTCAAAGTTGTATGAATTAATTTACCTTCAAGAGTTCAATAACAAATATTAAAGGCTGAGGCTCTTTCTGCAGCTCATCCAGATCGTCATAACCCAATGTATGGTAGGCAAACATGTTCGCCAGCCCACATGTGTGTATGTGCCAGTCTGTTGGGTCCTTTCCTTCGGCTATACGTCGTAAACTTTTGGCAACAATTGGGTATAAACCAGTATGCTGTGAATAAAATACACATGTAAGTAGGTCATCCAAAAGAAAACTGAGTTATATGTTGTATAAACAATACTTTTAGGAAAACCAAATGTCATTTCTAAAGACCTTTTCTAAGGGCCTCTTCTCATTCGTATCTGATAATGTAATTGAAGGTGCCTGAATCTATTCACACTTACTCAAATACCTTTAATAAAAGGTAGGTATACTCAAATGAAAAAAAAAAAAACAAATTGACTATTCATGTGTTTTTTTCAAGGATTGTCATTCTGAGTATTTTTCTCCCAGCAGTGAATGGTCCAGAATTTTACAGGGAACAGAGTTTATGTAATAACATGGAAATGTTCTCTGCAACATTCTCCTTTAAGGAGATACTTCAACCAAAAGGGGAGTTTCCACTTGTTCTCCTCCTCCCCCTCCTCTTTAATTGGCACTTTTTTTTTTGGGGGGGGGGGTATACCTGGTTTTAACAGGTACCGGCTCCCACGTCTGGTCAAATGCCTAGGCAGTCTGAGTGGAAGTTTGCCACCCCCTCCCTTATTCCCCTGCAGCCTTCTGGGACTAGTCCCAAAAGACTGTGGGACTATTCACAAAAAGCAGCATGGCTCGTTCATGCGCAGTGGGAAACCAGTGCCACAAGGCTTCACTGCCGGTTTCCCTTAGTTAAAATGCTGTCGCCTGGACCTAAAGCCAATTCAAGAATTGGCTCAGGTGAGGACAGTGCTGGATCCATGGACAGGTAAGTGTCCTTATATTATGTAGTGCTACCCCTGAAGGAGCTGCTTGTATGATGTCCCAGTTTCCCCTTACTTCGCCCTGCAGACAGGCACAGTGTATTTCTTCAGTCAAATACACACACTTCCAGTAGTTGCCTTCAATGACCAGTCTAGGGGATGTTTTGTTTTTGGAGTTTTATTGTAGAACATGGGGCTAGGGATAGGAAATTGTAGTAGGATACTTCAAAATTAGAACTATTCACATGGAGGACATCTAGCTGATCTCTTAGTTGAGCACTTTTGAAGTCTTAGTTGAAGCAGATAGCAGACTTCTCTTTACTTTGTAGCAACAAGTAGTTTAGGAGTGAGAAAAGTTCCTTTTGCATAGTAGTAGTTACAGGGCTTAGCTCCTCAGGTATAAGCCAGTTACGATGGACTGCGACAGCGCAAAGGTAAAATAGCTGAGCAAAATCCCTTTGCAGTAGCAACAATCAGACAAACTATTCAGTACACTAGCCAGTGTTCCCTTTTTCCAGACCCACGCTGACTATCAAGCACACAGAGTCCCCAAGTTCCTCAATGTCAGTACTCACAAGGTCCAAGGACAGAATGGTTGGCTTCTTCCAATCTTTCAAGCAAAACCCTCCAGTGATACCAAACAGAGCTTTGGCAGACAACTCCCCTCAGTCAGCTTACTGTAGAACCAGTGCCACCCTCTCTATCTTCAGGTCCTCGGGTCGATCCACCTGGCTCCAGCCTAACTGTTCAATCCTCTCCTAGGGAAGACACTAAACCCATGTGCTCCCAAAACATAAATGCCACTCCCAGCATGCAATGGATCTGCCTTCCCCTTCAATTGGCCTAGGCTGTATCAATATTCATGCTGTTCATTTACCTAGCCCCTTACCCATGTTCTGGAAGGCTCTCATAGCTTCCTGAAGGTGGGCAGAACAAACAAAGAGCACCAGAGCAACATGAGCAGACCTGACTAAATATTCACAGCACTCTGTTAAGCAGAATACCACACTGGTAAGCAGAGAAACACAACTATGCTTAACCTAAGTATACACATCCTAGCTCCTAACTAGGAGGGGGCTACAAATAAAAGTCAGCAATTACAGTATTTGTAGCTGCTGACTTTTAATTTTTTGGGGGGAACTGGAACTCCTCTTTGACCCTAGGTTTACATCTGTGCAGGTGGTGCTGCGGCGGATCCACACAAAAATCCGTGCAGCTGCACCACCCGCACAGAGAAATGCAGACCCACGGGCGGGTGCCATTAGTTCTAATGGCACACAGCCCGCACTGGAAAACAGAACCGTACTGGGAACGGAGGTTCCCTTGCAGGCTGCATTTTCCATAGAAGTGCAGGGACTTCCTCCCTGCATGTCTCGGGCACGGGAGTCCATTCAAATTAATAAGCTCTCAAAACGCAAAATGCAGCCCGCAAGGCCGCATATATGTGAACCGGGGTTAAGTGTTGTGGACTTCAGTCAAGACCACTTGTCTTACAGTGAACAGAAAGATGTTTGTTCAAACATACATGGGTAGCCCCCCCCCCCCCCCCCGATCGCATTCTTACAGAGCTGTTATAACATTTAGAAAGCACTTACATGATTGGTCAACAGTGTTCACAGACATTAGCAGCTTTGTCAGTATGACTGTTTTGGAATAGATCGCCAAGCATGGGATAGACAACAAACACAGGATAACTTATGACATATGTTCCCAGGTGGCCATATCATAAAACATTCTTTCCTTCTTTATTTTAGCTACTTTAAAAGGTCCTGGAAGGTTTATGACACAAGAGTGAACTACTTATTACCTCAAGCCTGTGTTATATTTTATTTGATAATCAGATTAATCTCTTTATCATAATTTCAGGGTGGCTTGATGGTGTACCATAAGGGGGTGTGTTCAGGGTCCCTTAGCTTTGTGTCATATAGCCCCATATACAGACCTTGCAACAATGAGTCTACAGATGACAGTCCCCGAGATAAAGTTAGCATTGCAGAGAGACATGTTTTTTTATTAAAATTAATTTTAAAAAAAAAGCTGTATTTAGACATTAAAGAGGGATTCCAGTTGTGTGTGTGTGTGTATTTGTGCACGCAGGGGGTGATTTTAATTAGACGTGCGGTTCATTTTGTTCCGAATTAAAATTCTGACTACATTTTGGTATTCAGAGATTCAGATGTATCCAAATTTTTTAATTACATCAGCAATGAATTTAAACAAATCCAAAATAGCAACAAAATTTTGTCTGCAGTTTGAACTGAATTCGAATCGAATTCTAAAACAAATTTCAAATACAAAGATATTGCTGACTATTGCTGATGTCCTTCAAAGACTATGTGTATCAGTGTTAGAATATATTATTACTATTATTATTATACAGGATTTATATAGCGCCAACAGCTTGCGCAACACTTTACAAAATGAAGGTAGACATAACAGTTACAATACAATTTGGTACAAGAGGAAACAGAGGGCCCTGCTTGTTAGAGCTTACAATCTAGAATATAGCTGTCTTCCGAAAATTCGAATTTCGAAAAGTATAGAATGGGATAAAACAGAAGAAAATATAGAAGAATAGAAGAGAAAAGAATATAACGAAAAGAAAAGAAAAAGAAAATAGAACAGAAATAGAAAAAAAAGAATAGATCTAAATATAATAGAATAAAATAGAAAGAACATAGCCATCTCCTGATATCTGAAGTTAAAAAAGAATAGAATAACACTGAATACAATAGAATGGAAAAGAAAAGAGTAAAACAGAACAGAATAGAGCAAAATAGAAATTAAAGGAATAGAATAGAAAATAAAGGAATAGAATAGAATAGAAAATGAACAATATAATTAAATAGAATAGAAAAGCACAGAATAGAGAAGAATAGAACAGAAAATAAAACAATAGAATAGAAAATAATAGAATGGGATAGAAAAAAATTGAATATATTAGTATATCATAAAAAAATATAACAGTCTTCCGAAATTTGAATTTCGAATAGAATTAGAACCAGTTATTCTTCACAATGAATTTAGATCGATTCTATATTTTTTAATTGAATTTTATTTTAATTTGATTTTAATTCGATTGAAATACTTCAAATCCATTGGAAAAATTTTAATCACGTTGAAAAAGAATAAACTAAACAAAACATATTTTGTTATGAATGCAACCAAATGAGTAATCTGACGAACTGAAACAAACCAAAAACGAAACATAACACACTTTTTCATTCTGCACATGTCTAATTTTAGTTGAAGTTAAATTGCTTCTTGTGTCTTCATTTTTGGGATTTTTCCTCACCATTTATCATCCATCATTAGTGGGTACAAGAGGTGGGGGGAAATTTCTGCAACACAAACAGCTTTAAAAGTTTCCAAATGGTCAGTCCGCCCCTGCATGTACTCCTTTCTCCAAGGCTTTCTGACACTCCTTTATGTACATTTTCCATAAAATAGAAAAGATAACGGAAGTATGTTTATTTCATGTGGCTGAGTTTTACATTTCAAAATGTTAAGTATCTCGGATTCTTTGTACTGCACAATCTACAGGATTTAAATACTAAATCAAGGTTGAACAAAATGGTATTCCATTGGCAGTATATTATTTTCCTGTGATTTATGGTGCTCAGTTGTCTATTGCATGTGCATAACTGAAAAGCTTTACAATTACGGTCATGCCTTTTACAATTTCTCTATCTTCTGTCTCATTTCTTTTATTCTAGTTTACAATAGAAAAAGTTTTAAAATTCAGAATGTTAGCTTACCATCAGTGGATTTTAAAGCTGAACTTCAGACACAAAAACCTTCACTGAAATGCATTTTTCAATAGTCAACAAGCTTATACTGTAAATCCACTTTGTGTGCGGCAAATGTAAGCTCAGTTATCACCTTGTAAAAGCAATGACGGATGAAGAATCACTTTTAAAAATGTAAATGTTTCCATCACATATGCTTTTTTTTACAAACTAAAAGTTATCCCTTTTGTCTGAGTCTACCAGAAGAACATTATTAAAACCAGCAACTGTTGGGACAATGAACACTTTGGTCAGACTACAACATAATGTATAGAGTGCAGGGGAAAGGAATAAGTAACATCAAAACAACAGTGTAGCATCAGGACGAGCCCCCCTGTTCACATCAGATTCCCCATCAGAGTTCCCCCTCCGAGTCCCCGGACTCCACCCTCTACATTAAAGTCTTCCCTCTTAAATGAGGATCCCCAGAGCACCCTCCCAACATCATGGTCCCCAGAGTAGCCCCCTTATATCAAAGGTCCCC